GAAGGAGTCTCCACCCACAAACAGACACATATCGTCTGCTGTTATAAGGTATTTCGTTGCACTTTAACAAGTAATCTGAACGGCCTATATATGTGCAATATTTTAACCGAGCCCTCACTAACTGAATTTAATGCCACAGTTATGTTAAACGCATCTCATTTTTGTTTCTGTGGCAGTGCGTCGGGCTCGTCATGGGGTGCGCGGTCCGGAGCGCTGTATGATTGATGTATCTGTTTAAATTTACTCCAAATATATGAACTTACCTGTTTTAAATACTTTATATTTCACGTGTTCATTTATGTCCAATATTTAGTGTTAAACTGTTGGTCTTTTAAATAAATCTACTTTTGATTTTCACCGTTGACTGATTTTGCAGACCTTTTAAACATTTGAAGTGAATCAAAACCTTTCATCAAAGTTGTCCTAAAACCTAAAACCAAAATGCGTTCTTGTCTTGAGACAACTTTGAACTTTTTTGATCCACTTCAAATGCTGACTACTGTTGGTAGCACATGAGTGGAGCATGACAACGTGTTTTGTTTTTTTGCAGGCTATGGATCAGTTTTCTTCTCTGGTGAAGTGAATCTTACCAACATGAACCTGGATGAGATTGTGCACTTCAGGCGTAAGGAGATAATTGTGTACCCTGATGACAAAGACAAGCCTCCTGCTGGAGAGGGACTAAACGGGTAATGTGCATGGATCGCTTTTGCCTCTTCCTCAACTGCTTTGGTCGCTCTTTAAAACTGAGTTTCTCTTTGTTGTTGCAATGTATTTTGTTTCTTGTAACACACAGACGTGCTGAGGTGACTCTAGATGGTGTGTGGCCCAATGACAAGACAACATGCTCTCAGATTAAGAGTCTAGAGAGGCTGACTGAGATGAACTACGAGGGCCGGCTTGAGGCAGCCTCGCGTAAACAGGGTGCCCGCTTCTTGGAATACCGACCTGAAACTGGCTCCTGGGTCTTTGAGGTGTGTCTACTCCACATTCCATTAACTTCTCTATTTTCAATCCACATTTTATTTTCTGACTGATCTTGAATTGCATAGTTAGCTGATGTCATGTATGAATCTTGTGAATGTAACCAAAATCTCCTCTACAGGTGGCCCACTTCTCAAAGTATGGACTCCAGGAATCTGATGAAGAAGATGAAGTCCCCCCGGCAAAGCTTGATCTGAAGAAGCTGAAGACGGGTGTTCCACCTGGGATCCCACAGCTTCCGCTGACCCAGCAGCAGATGGCGCCACAGGCTCAGGTAGACTGAGGAACACGCTGGGTCTGACACACATTGGTCTTCAGGGCCACTCAAGTTCACTTATTCCTGCTGTGCTCCCCGCAGTCCAGAGCAATACTAGCAGCGGGGCGAGAGCAAAGAGATTTAGTGATTCAAATGCTTTTCATTTGTGATGCCAAGAGATCGTAAGTTATTGAAATGCTGTGCACATGTTTTAAATATTAAGAGTTTACAGAGAAAGTTCATATAACCAAGGGAGTTAGTTGCCTTTTATCTAATTTATAGTTTGTAAAGCTGACTGTTCTTCTTTGCAGTTGAGATTAGCAGGTGCTTTAAATGTAAAGACTAGACTTTTCATTTTCAGTGGAATATTAATTGTTACAGCATTTTCTTTAATAAAAATATTGATTTGTTTAGACAGAATGATAATGCAGGGGTAATTCTGAATGTGTTTTGAGTGGAACAAGATGCAGCCAAGCATTATGCTTGGGTTCTTTTATCTTTGCCAAAATATGAAGTATGTTTGTATGTTATGATATTTGTGAAACACACAAGCAAAGAGTTTGTTTGACCATTTGTATTTTAGATTTACTTTTAACAGGTGATTTAAATATTACATTCAGTAATAAAGTCTGTCTAATATTTTACAAATATGAGCTTGTGGGGTTTCAGATTGTTTCGTTGGAAGTATAGCAATGAAAAATGTATGGGTGGCAGTGTGTGAATTTGTTTTGATTTTGTCATGTATTTTATTGACAAATAAAGGTACAATAAAGAAAATGTTTGTGTCAGGACATTTCATGGCTACACAGTGCTTTCATAGCAATGTTTTGAATAGGCAGCAACTAGAACCTTGATGTCTATGAAATTATTTTGGTAAAAATTTATTTCTGTTTGAAAGCTTGCTTTCTGTCAACTTTAACTTTGCTGAAGGGGTCTGATAGGGATGAAAAATTAGTTATAACTGTACTCTGCACTTGGATCAAGAGCGACTACTTGACTTGATCTCTTTGTATCCATGTGTGTAGAGTACAGCAGTTCTTGAGCTGCTCAGCCGTGTGTCGGAGTTGGACAGTGACATGGCTGACATTACTCAAGAACACCCGGCAGACAGTGTTTTGGGTGAGGAGGATGGAGAGAGAACTTTGGAGGAGAAGCTGAGATCTGAGACTCCTGCTGAGCACGAGCCAGTGTCTGCATCGAGTCAGATTGCTTCCTCAATGGGCATCAACCCTCATACCTTACAGGTAGCGTGTGTGTAATTAAGTCATAGATTAGAAACGAGTCACATTCTGTTGTTTTAATTAATGTTGATTTGTTTTCTATACAGATCATGAAGGCCTCTCTCTTTGCAGATGATGATGAATGTGACTTGTTTCAAGAGCATGGTTCTTCAAAGCTCATACAGGATGTGGCTTCCCCCAAAGTCTTGCTTTCTGGAGCTGGTCGGCAATCAAGTATGCCAGCCTAATATATATATATATA